TTCCTTTTAATTTTTTTTTTTAATTTTTTTGAAATAACCAGAAATTGCAAGGCGCTGGACGTATTTCTTCGATTCCAGAGAGCACAATAAAATTACTCGTTAATTCAGCAGTGTGGGATGGCGCGTTGTCATCCTGTTTTCCAAGAAATTTTTGAAAATTTTTGGTAAGTACCCTTCGGTGTATCATTTTCCAGCTACCGTCTGACCCTTTTCCAGTGAAAAAACGGCTATGATCTTAGATCGGATGAATTAAACTGGCATCAATACTTTTTCTTGGTTTTTTTTTTGGTTTTACGGGAGGATTTTTTCCTCCTTTGGACTCCTTACCATGGACTGCAGTTTGGTTGATGGATCATACTTAACGACTTTAATAAAGTCTATTTCTGACCATTTTCCAGTTTGTTTTGGAAAAATTGAGCAAGATGCACTCGGGTCTCTTTTTGGGCTCATTTAAAAATCGTGATACCCATCGAGCAGGGTTTTCGTGTATTCCAGTTGAGTACTTAATATTCGCAATACAGCCCTGGCATTCATGCCCCATTCATTAGCAATCATTTCTTGTGTCAACATTTTCGACAATTCCGGACTTCACCGGAGCTACAGGTTTTGGTCGACCTTCTCGGTGCTCGTCCGCTACAGAAAATGTCTAGTCTGGAATCTTCGGAACCACTTAAAAATAGTCATTGAAGACGGTGCAATCGTTCCATATACAATTTGGCATTCACTGAATATTTGTATTGGCTGTAAATTACGCAGAAATCCGAAGAGAATCATTTTTCGTATTTCTGTTTGCGTTTGTGATGGAATTTCGTCTGACCTATCTTCAGCTATCTTGAGTTTTCTCGTCACCATTTTGGCCTATTGTTCTAAAATTTGAATAAAATATTAATAAAGTAATTGCAAAGGATTTGGTATTTTTAGATTTAATAAAAACAAAATGAACGTCACCAACTGACCGAACTACAATGAACTGGACGTCATAATCTTCCTCTGCTTCCACCGGCGCATACCGCAGCTAATACTTTCAAAGCTAGAGCACCTTCATCCTTTCGAACGACATTACCTAACCAGCGTAGTCGCTGTATCTTGATTCGCTGAATTAAGTCAATGTCGACGTATATCTAGTATAGCTCATTATCAAACCAAAAATTTGCCGCAAAATCCATCTCTAGAATACTCTCAAAGTTGGCCATGGATATACATCATATAGCAAGATGATGAGAGACGGATAGAGTTAGGTTTTTCAAGGCGAAAAAGTGCCTTACTTGTCAATTGCCGACTCAATTGATTATGGTTTTTATTTCGATCTCAAGACCGAAATTTTTGTTAACGTTAAAGACGCTTAAAAGAACTGCAACTTCACTGCGTCTTTCGAAAAAAAAAATATTTGAACTTGTCCAAAACAAGCATTTCGTTTCAAATAACACTAAAAGTTTTTAATGGATCCAATCGGAATAATTTTTTTTGTATGTAAAACATTATTCTTTTACTTTTATTCTTTTTCTTTTATTTCTTTTTTTATCAATGAGTTTATTTTGTCCTTATTTATTTATTTTTTTTTTGTGTGCTGTAATTTTTATTTTATTTATTTTATCTTTATTTATTCATAATATTTTATTTATTTTATTTTGTTTTAGTTTTTATTTTATTTTTATTTCTTTATTTATTATACTTTTATTATATTTTATTTATTTTATTTTGAATTTTTTTTTTCGTTTTTTTATTGTGTTATTGTGTTTCCAAATATTTATTTACATTTATTATTATATACATAATGTTAGGTTAAGGCTGACGCGTGAAGCACGTGTTGGAAGCTTTTCTAGCCCAAAATCCTATTATATATCTAACGAAAAATCATTCACTGCCCTAAAAATCTTGTTTCTTCTTTGAACTATCTATTTATCCACCTTTTATGCGTTCAAATTTTACGCAATTTTGAACATTAAATGTAATTAATAAAAAATTGACAAAAGCGTGAGCCACTAGAAAAGTCAAGTGGGCATAAGAACGAGCATAAATGAAAAGGACGACGCGTGTTTCGGCAGCTTGCAAGAGCATGGTAGTGCGTAGCTGGAAAAGAAAGTGCGTGAAGCTAACTGAATTTAACAAAAAAATACCTAATAACCGTAATACACCAGTATGTATGTATGTACATTAGTAGAATGTGTAACATTCTTGAAATTAGCTAATTTTATTTATTAGTTAAATAATTGCGGCCATATGAACGTGAGGCAGCTAAGACTAGAAGAGAGTTATTATAAGGAGGCAAGTAGAATGGCTCAATAGGCATGTGAAAATGTTTCCAAATTCAAGGATAGCACGACGTGTGAGTTAACGGTGGTGTGGCGGCGTGCGGTGGCGCTAATGTCTAATAGGCAAATAGAGTAAGCGCGTAGACTTAAAAGGCTTGTTACCTAACTTCTGCTACACGCATGAATGTTTATGTACATACAAATTCACCCTGAGGTGTGCTGAAGTGCGTGCAGTAATAACAATGAAGCATAAGCATGTTGCATATGAAGAGGAAGAAAAAAAAACACTAAATAACAATAACAACTGCGCAACATTGAACATTACGCGGATAATTAGCTGCCGAAAATGTATTCTAAGTACATATGTACATATATACATAAATAAGTTGCCACACATGTTAATGGCGCGTAAAAAAAAACGTGGAATTTGGGTGTAGTACGTACTCATATATATTATATATACTCCTTTATAAAAACATATATGTATATGTATATATGTGGGAGATGGTTAAACTTCTAAGGCTTTTCATTACGCTCATTTGCTGCAGGGCGGCGCATTACCAGTTACTTTCTATAATTTTTAGGTTGATTTTTTTCTTTTTCACCGCTTCTTCTTCATTACATTTGTTGGTAACAAACATAAGAATTAAAATATTTTAATGAAGAAAGCACAACATGCATGCAAGGGTTGTCTAAAGAAAGCTGTGAAACGCTGTGGCACAGTAGCGCGGCACGAACGCTCACATTTGCCACATAAATAAAAATTATTACTTTCATAAGGCGCAAATGTGCTTAAAATCCTTTGCTGCATGCACAAATATTATATTATTTATTCGAATGTGTACATATGTATGAGTGTATACGTGTATTTTATTTGTATGTAAAAAAAAAATCACATATTAAGTTTCTCTCTACATATGTATTTACTTAGTACATGCATATTTAGATATATTAGGCCATAAATTTCGACACGTGTACCAAACTACATATGTACATATGTACATACATCATATATGTATTTGTATGTACACATCGGAGTCTATAATCGTGTCGCGGCGCTAATGACAGCCCCTAATGACACTTAACGGTATTTTAATGTTAATGCTTGCGCCTTACTCGTATGCCTAATAAATTCATTAAAGCGAGATAATTAAATCTGTGAAAAGAATACATACACGTACACATTTACGTACCATACTCGTGTTCATCAAATTACGGTGTCATTGCATAAAAAGCATACTTATTAGTTAATTGTTTAATTTTAGTATTTCTTCTGCTTCATATGTACAAAATCTTTCTTAATTATTGAATTTATTTTTTTAATTCATTTATTTTTTTTCAATCCTTTTTGGTTCAGTATATTTTTTTTTTTTTCATTTACATTTTTTATCATTTTATTTTATTTTCATTTCTTTAATTTGATTAACTTACAATAATCTTAATTTTTAATTTTTTGTGCATTTTATTTAATAGTATATGTATTTATTTGAGTATATTTCCATTTAACATGTTGTATACTATTGTACTTTATTTCTATTTTATTTTATTCTAGGTTCTTAGTTATATATTATTCTTTTTCACAAATTTTAGTATTTTATTTTATTTTATTTATTTAGTATTCCATGTTATTTAATTTTTTATTTATTAATTTTTTTTTTTTGAAATTTAAGTTTTGGAATAAATAAACCATTGTATATTTAAATAATTTTTTTATTTTTAATTTCTAATGTTTTTATCTTGAATGAATTTAATATATTTGATCTTAGTTTTTAAATCTTTTTATTTTATCTTAATTTATATTTTGAATATTTCATTTAAACTCATTTGTATTTATTTGATTATAATTTATTTAATAAATTAAATATTACTTTATTCAAGATTATATTATTATTTTTTCTTTCCTTAATTTTAAAGTTTTTATTATATTATATTTTTCCATATTTTTTATGTCTTTTGTTTATTTTAAATTCTACATTATTTAATTTATAATTTTGTTCTTTTTTCAAATTTTAATTTTTATAATTTAATTTATTTCCGTTTTATTTTCTATTTCTTATTTGATATAATATGTAATATATAATACATTATATAAACCTATTTTAATGTATTTTGTCTTAGTTTTTAATATTATTTTATTCTTATTATTATTCTTATTTTTTTGTTCAATTTATTTTACTTTGTTTTATTCTGATTTATTATTTTATATTATTATTTGCCTGCTTTTCAAGTTACTAATGCATTATTAAATTTATATTTTAAATTGATTGATCTTTATTAATTTGTTTTATTTAATTAAACTAAGTATTTTAATTAATTAATTAATTTTGTATTAAATTAGTTTTGGTAATTTTTTATATTCTATTTTATTTTATTTCATATCTAAAAAAAAATTATTTTATTTTTTGTCGTGTTGTATTTTATTTCTTATATCATTATAGTTTATTTTCTTTTCCGCTTTTTATTTTTCCTTAATTTTTTTTATTTTGGTTTATAAGAAAAATTATAAAAATTATGGCCATTTACTATTATTATTTTTAATTTAAGCTTTCTTTACATTTTAGATTTAATTTTGTTTAGTATTATTTTATGTAGTGAGATAATTTAGCTAAAAACCTTCCTTGCCTAAATTCTTGATTTCAGTGTTTTTTTTTATTATTTATTATTTTTATTTAATTACTGTTAGGATTTATCATAAGAATTACCTTTTCACAAACATTTAATTGCTTCTATTTTTGAATTTCTTTTCAGCAAGAAGAAAAAGAAATACCTGAAGTGACATTAGCCCATAAAAAGGCGAAAGAATGGATTGTGGCCATGGCCAGAGCAAACTATCAGGATCTATCGAAATTGGCTAAAGAATATCCCGAATTGGTTAAGCTACACGTAAGTCCAAATAATTTGATTTTTATAATTAAGTATACGTTTTACTATACAAAATTCCTTAGACATACACATATTCCTCATATATTTACAATACGTACATACAAGCATAATTCTAAATTGACATTTGACAAATGAGCCCATTGGACACGATCACTTGACAATTATCCAGCTGTCAATGATCTCTAAAAGTGAAAAAAATGTATGCACAGGCAGACAGTGTACATACATAGATATATAAAATCCTTGAATTTGATCTTTATGGCGCCACCAAGTGTTGACCATCAGACGGTCTTTCCAATTTACTGATATATCGAAGTATTGTATGTGCCATATGTGGCTGCTATGGCAGACACACGGGCACGCCTTTAAAAATTTAATTTTTAAAATTCAGAAATATTCTCATTACAACTAAAGTATTAAATTAAAAGCAAAACAAAAAAAAAGAATAATTATAAAAAATAACATAAATAAAATAAAATAAATTAAAGTAACTTGAAATGTAAGAAAATAAAAATAAGTGAAATAAAATAAGGCAAAAGGAAATCAAATAAAATAAAAGAAATATATATTAAACTTAAAAAGAAATTAAATTAACTGAAAGTAAAATAAGTTAAATTAAATAAAAGAAAATTAAATTAAATTTAAAAAGAAATTAACTGAATTAAAAGAAAAATAAATTTAAAAAAGTAAAAATAAATATATAAAATATAGTAAAAAATAAGCGAAATATCGTAAAATAAATGCAACAAAATAACATTTTTATTAAAAAAAAAATTAAATTAAATTAAATTTAAAATAAAATAAATAAAATCGAGTAAATAAAACTTAAGAAAGTAAAAATTAACTATTTAATTAAAAAAAATAATAATAAAATGCAGTAAATAAAATGAAATAAAATGAAATAAAATAAAATAAAATAAAATAAAATAAAATAAAATAAAATAAAATAAAATAAAATAAAATAAAATAAAATAAAATAAAATAAAATAACGTTTTTATTAAGAAAAAAATTAAATTAAATAAAATAGAAAATTTAAAGAAAATAAACAAAAATAAAATAGTAATAATATTTAAATTAAATAAAAAATAATAGACAAAGATAAAATAAATATAATAAATATTAAATTAAATAAAAAATTAAAAAGATTAATTAAAAGGCGTCAAATTGAATAAATAAAATGAAGGAAGTAAAATCAAATTAATTGAAATAAGAGATAAAATAATTTCTAAACCTAATGAATAAATTATAAATTGTCTTTTATTTTCTGGCAGTTAATGTTAGTTAAATATTGGCAAGAAATGGTACACCGATTGCCGAGCTGTACGAATATAAAATACTGCTTTGAAATTTTGAGATATACATATTTATTGATGAGTGCTTAAGTTCGTGCCCGATTCCGCTGGATGCCGTTCGAATCGTTTGAGAGTGGCGCTCGTGAAAGAAATATATACATATTATATATCGTTGGAAAGGTGACAGTCCGAACTGTAAATCAAGCAAAAAATAACTTCATTTTGATTTCAGTTGCTTAGTGAAATGACAACGAAAAGATCATATGCGTCATATTATGTCAAAAACCACCTTGACACCTTTTTCAACGAGAAACCGCGCGATTTCTATGAAACAGGCATCCGTAAATTGGTTTAACGTTGGGAGTGAATTGCCGAACATGATGGCGAATACATAATTGATTAATAAAAGCGCTTTCTTCAAAAAATTTCAATTTTAGTTTGCACTTGAAATCGGGCACGAACTTATGCACTCATCAATACATAAGGATTCGTAAGAATATATCTCTCTTTATCAACAGAATTTAATTGTTTTTTGATTTTTTTTAACATTAACTAGATTAATCCATACTGTAAGACTTTTTAAATTGAAACCATGATTTTTTATATTAAAAATGTCTAATACAACTGCTTCTCTTGGACACCAGTAAATTAATTTGTAAAGCTTTACAACAAACCTTTGACAGCAAGCAATAATATAACTTTAACGAGGCCATTTCGAATTGCACTAACACCTCCTTTCTCACCAGAATATAGATGTATGTCTGTAGGTCCGTAAGTATAAACGTATCTTCAACTTGCTGTTGACACTAATTTATTTCTCCCGGTTGCCTACTTGGAAATGCATAAAAATGATTTATATCCATTTCCGCTCCAATGCAAACCCAAATGATTCGAAGAATTGCAAGCGCCGCATAATTCGCGCATTTCACTGCAACGCGAGCAACTCCTTATTAATTGCAATTTCTTTGCATTTACGAATATAAATTGCAACCGCCAAGAAGGCTGGCTCAAGCTTTTGCATATACATATATATGTCGTATATTTCAATCTCGGTGTCTTCTAGTGTGTCTTCGGCAGCACACATAGCATTATTTCCGGGAACAGGAGATTTGTAGCCCAATTAGTTAATTCCACACAAAAATCTCCACATGAACTTGTGATCCAGCGCAAGCTTCTTGAGCTCATGCTAGTTGTTTGTATGTTTGCAGGGATGTACGTACATCACTCGTGGTTAATTCAATATGAGCTGTCATAAGTGTATTGCATTGTGGGGGACAATGCAACCGCAAGCAGGCAGCACTTCCCCCAGAGTGTCATAAATCTTCGGAGTAAAGAGCGTGTCTCTCGAATGTTGCCTACAGCGCGCTGAGCAGGAGTGTGTGTGTGGGGCGCTGGCAGTCATACTCATGGCGATAGTTGATGGTGTCATTGCAGCATAAAAAGTGAATTATGCGCCTCTTTATCGGCGTGAAATGCAGCAAAAAAAAATAGATGAAAATAAAATGGAAAATTAAAAAATTAAGGGTCCGCAGCGTTGTAATTGAGGAATAATACTCAATCGTATTTTGTAAATAAAATATTGCTTGTTCCTTTGCTTGTTTAGTGTAAATTCTAAATTTTGTATGTCAACTATTTTATGGATATTTGGAGTCAAATGAAGTAATAGAATTAGTGGCATCGTCTATCATTAACAAATTTTTCCTCCACATTTCATGGTGCATGCAGGTTTATGCCCCTACTTGTAGCTGTAAATAATAAAAAAGACACTAAATATTTTTTAGTTTCACATTTTATGAATTTATTGACTTTGTTAAATTTTTAATTGCTCATTGTTGCCTCCTTACACATTTTTGGATACTCATTATTTATAAAATTCGGGCGAAGTGTAAGCTAAAATTTCAAAATATTTCACTTTTATTATTTATTGGACGAACTAATTTTAGAAAAAATATTAATTAATATAAAAAATAGAACATTTTAATCATAAAAGCTTCTTTAGATTGTGTTAAGTTTTTTATTATACCAATTGATGGTAAAACTGGTCTAATAACGATGCTGGTCTTTTATTTATATATGCAATTTTTTTTACTGTATCTTATTGGAAAGCCTTCGTAGATTCCTATTTTGTTTCAAATAGTCTTAAAAGATCTTGAGTGCGGGGCACCCATAAATGCTTAATAACCCATAGTTCACGGGAGCGGGTTCAAATGAAACAAATATTGTCAGGGCGTGTTACAATTTATTTATTTATATATTTCAGTCCATTGAACAATAACTTAGTACTAATTTTAATCACAGAAGACTTAAGGCTATTTAAAGTAATTATAGAGTTTTGTATGAACCGCTCCACAGGATAGGAACAAATCTAGATTCTTAATGATATTTAATACTGTTAGGGTTCCACTCAAATGGGCGTACTTGGAGCAATTAGATTTTGCAAACCCAAGATTTGGACTACGGACATTGAAGTGCGTGCTTTCCAAGAGACTAAACTGAGCCATATACAACATTGTACACAAAAATTAAAAGCGATGTAGAAGAGCCGACCACTCATAGATTTAATACCCAAAAGCAGGCATCGGAATTCTTGTTAAGGTGTCGTTTCAATGAAATTTAAAGAGTGTAAGGCAAATTGTATGCAAATTTTCTCGACTCGTTTTAATCGACTCTTCACATGAAAGCAGCATATCAATCAATATTTGTTCTTATAAGAGAGACATGTGTTGAGTTGAGTTGAGTTGAGTTGCTGCGGCTGCTGGTCAACCCCAACACACTTAGGCCAATAGGCCCATTGTGATACCGCTGAGGCCCCTGGCTTCACCTTCTCAAATGATCGAACCATTGCCTTATAAAGCCAACGAGATTTCCAAAGTTCACTGAGGCCAACTCAGCAAGAAGTGTTTCCCAAGAAATGTGTGTCACGCGAATGTCAAGGCTGGATAATGGCAGAGGTAGTCATCGACGGTCTCTTCCTCGTCTTCATCCCTACAGCCGCGGCTGAAATCGTTTGAGTAAAGGCCCATCCCAATCCCGTGAAGCCCCATTAAACAGTGTCCAGTTATTACACTAGTCGTTATGTTTATGGAGAACTGTTCTAGAAGGATAAGATTTTTAGATTTTTTCGCGTCCAACTTCGGTCATAGCTGTCTGGTTACATTATACGTGATTTCGTTCAACCAACGTGAGTCGACTTCCCTAGTAAAGGTCAGTTTAAGTATGTACTTAGCCGTGGACGGGGGTGAACCAACATCATGTGCGTGTTTTATCGTAGATAGCAGGGTTCCTTCCCTTGCTAATTCGTCTGCCAAGCAATTGACTGTACTGTACTTCGGTAAAAACTTGTTAAGAGTGTTTCTACAGCTAATATCGTGGTACCGTTACATTTAAAAATTACGAGGCTCCAATTTCCTAACTATTTTTGATGCTTTCGAGCGCTTCAGACGAGGTTATACTAGCTACTATCCGCTCAGATCCTTTTAATTTCGCGCTGACGAGATGTATCCATGTTACATCCATTGTCTTCTCACTTACTTCTCACGCTATTTGATATATGGGTTCCGGCCATATATACATATGGGATTGTTGCACTTCCTTCAAAAATTCACTTCGGATAAAGAATTTATTGGTATGGTTTTGTCATTTGCAAATTGATACTAATTTTATTGAAAGACAGACTACATTAAATATATAGGAGCCCTGAGAGTCTA